AATTACAGTAATTCCTTACGCAGAAGGATACAAGAATGAACACAATATACTTTCATGAATTTCATCCGAAAACTAAAAAAGATTATTGACATTTTGTTGGGGGGGGGTGTGGAGGGGCAATGGCCAAAAGTAGTTTTGTTATACGGTAGAAGGAAAGATAATCCTATGAATCCGAGTGTCATTGTCCTACCACAAGCACGTATCCTCTTTAGAAATAGAGATGGTGCACATATTGTATGTTCTTGACTACATTGATAGCAGTACATTTTAGAAATGCAAAATTGAACGATGGTATACATACATTTCTTTAGCAACTTTGCTTTATGGTGCGTTATTGCATCATCAAAAAAAGGTGCACACTTTATTGAGATCACTTATTCAGTTCATTAGTTTAAAAAATGCAGGATACATAATACATTTACATGTAATTGAAAAACAATTATTAAAAATGCCATATATCAGGGCAAAAACTTCATAGGTAAAAGTGTTCATATCGGGATAATTTAGGGAACTGCAATGAACTACGATTCAAAATATTATCCCCCCCCCGGAAAAAAAACATTAGAAAAACATGCCAATGCCTGGACATTGGTAACCGTAGTTGTGTTTCCCATTTCTTCTTTTTCCTCGACTTAACGATCTTTACCTCGGAAGAAAAAACAATTCGACGAGAAACTCCATCCGTCTTCTTATTTTTCCCAATCTTATCCCATCCTCCACAATTTCCCATCCCCTCTTACAGTGATAAATCGTTTTCCATGCATACACATCTCATGTGCTTTCCCCGAGGATTGTCAGGGTATCCTCCCAAAATATATTTTTTTGTATTCTTCCTCCGACTGTCTCTAAAACAATCCTACAAAATCAGAGGTTCGCTTTTTGCAGGTTAATTGGAGAGAGGTTGTTTTTGATCTGGGAAGCCTAACATGCGACTCTTCGATGCAAGCCTCACACTTTAGTAACACGACATCCGCGGAATATATTTTCTCAGATTCCCGTTTTTCATTACTTTCCATATATTTTTAAAGTTTCTTCTGCCATTTTTTAGATGGTTACACAACGGAAGACGAGTGCTGTTTCATGAAACAATCCCTCTTAAAGTGGGTCAGCTTATCCAGCCGATTTTCTACATGGCCTGAGTGTTTAACGTTGTATTGCAAATGTACTTTCCATGCATAGAAATTCATCCCAAGTTGAAAAGTTGACTTAAAACGGATACCATATTTTGATACCAAGAATATATAAAATAGTTTCAACTTTCTCGTGACATGTGACCTGTGAAAAACATTATATTATAACACTTCAGATGAAAGGTTGTTGTATAAGAAATACAGTAAGAATAATGACCAACCTTGTTTAAAAAAAACTTGTACCTTGTAAAGCAGGCCCTCTGTGGCTCGGAATAGGACTACCCCGCTTGTTTTTAAAAGAAAACATGAATTGAATTATTAAATAACAAATCTGGATATCCAATTATTTTTAACCATTGGTATCAAACGAGGTTTCATTTTTACTATCACCGAAATAACATTCACATGGTCCTTAGAACTATGGGACTGGTTATGGACTATGGAACTCTTTAGCCTTCAACATTTTAACTAGGACTACGGGACTTTTTAACTAATACTATGCGAGTGTTTGAATTCTAAGTTTCTAACATTATACAGGGCATAATGGACTGTTTAGCTTTGAGCATTATTTTTTGATTGCGTCGTTGGACTGCTCAACTATCATTCTCATACACACTGTGGGACTCTCTAAATGTTACATTTTGAAAAACTAAATAATAAGCAGTTATCCTACATTGAAAATAAAACTGAAATTAAGTATTCGCAATCAACGATGTAAAAGAGATAAATAAGACAAATGTTAATAATCATAATACTTACAGAGCTGATGCGGCGATAATAATTATACCACCCTGTATTTTAATTGCTGAACGAACGTAGCGACCGAATATCGAAGGACAGTATAACAATTTTAACAAAACGTTTATTTTTCATCTAGTAGTTTCGTGAAAATTGTGGGACAAACAAAATATAGGCCGGCCGGAGCTTCCGAAATCTGACAATGTCATATACTGTAAGAAGTTATCGCAGATAAATTATTTCGAACTGGTGTGAACAGTTTCGTGAATAACGTCGGGAAAAAGAGAGATGCTTAATACTCAGACACAACACACCATAAGCCAGTCAACCACCTTACATTTATTACCCATAGGTCACAACACAACAATTCTTGACATGGAACCACAAAATTTGCTGAGATGGGTTATAGCCAGGATTTAAGTCAGACGCCTATGAGGAGGAGGAGGAGGGGGGGGGGGGTCCTACTGCCCTATTAACTATAACTTATAAAGCTACGTTACCCTGACGTTACACCCAGACTTAATCCATCTCAGTAACTTTCACATCGCCACTAAGATCATAAGAGATATTGTTGCATTGGTCTATTGGTAAATATGACTTACCCCTCACATTATTTGGTTCAGTCAGGATATCATCTGGTCCAATCTGCTCCAGGTTGATAATCCGCCGATAATCCGTCAGTGTCATAATCCAAATCCAATCCATGAATTGAGCTCAATCAGATATAAGTCCACAGGCGTTCAGATGAAATCCTTCTCCAAACTTTCATGATGTCCTCTTCTTATTAAAAAAATAAGAAAATATTCCATAATCTGTATGGGTTGATCAGTCATTGGTAGTAACATCATTACCAACTTGCATGAAAGTTAGCTTCTGCCTCGGCAAGCCACCTGTCCGGCCCCGACATATCCACAAACCTCGCGCAAGGTTCGGTCAAGTCAGGCCAGCATTAGGGCTTGGGCTAGCTCCATAAAGATCCTGATAAATGATTTTACTTAATGATTATTGCTCATCATCATTGTAAATCATGGTTTTAATAATCGTTAATCCACCAACGTTTTGCTTCGATTCTTCCTGTCTTGTTGCAAAGTAGACGTAGTCCTCATGTCCCTATTGGAATTCCATTATGAAAATGTTTTAAGCTTGCAAAATATCCGATACAAGGGGATACATTTGGAAATGGAGCCTCGTGGAAATAATGTGTTGGCAAATATTTGCATAGGCTGATTATGCGTGTAATGAAGAGAACAGGTGGCACTTGACAATAGTAATGAAATATGTGAAAATACCAAACATTCCAATTGTCTCTTATCCCAAACGGACAACTTCAATAGCCATTGTGACGTCACAGGGTCCTGCTCTCCGTTATGTACGTTTGTAAATCACAGTAATCATTACATGTATGTCATTTGCATTGTTTCAAAATGTTCAAAATGTTCAAAATCCATTCATTTCTTCCCCATAATGCATTCATCGTTGCTTGGTCGGACAAAGCTTCAACTTAATACACTGAATTTTTAAGGACAAATTTTGTTTAGCATGCAAAACAGAACCTGAATACTTGACGAAAAGGGAATATCGCCTATTGTTGTAAATGATGGAATGAATAAAGACTAACTTTTTTCCCAATCCACCCCGAAAACATCGAGAAAAAATAAAAATAATAAAGCAAAGCAAAGTTCACTAACGCACTCCAATACCAAACAAAAATCAAAAGCCCATAATAATATGTTTTATTCATTCATACATTGATTTCTTGATTCGAATGCGTTAATATCTATAGTGAATAATTATTGATTTAAATCAAGATATTCGTTTCATCTGAATAAAGATTATCGACCTATGTAATTTGAGTGATCCTTGCTCTTTAAGTATGTCGTTCATGTTAACATAGTGATTTATTGTGTTATCGAAACTTATTCGAAGCACGAAGACATGCAATAAAAAGTAGGACGATACCTGAACTTTAAATAGCAAGAATCGAATGCTCAGACATAAATCAGGTGATGCGATGAGATAAGGGGGTAACAAAACCTGCCCCCTTTGGTATTCGAAATCTTTGTTTCCCTTTTTTTATAACCCGCCTCTGGGATCGACCCTTCTCTCTTCGCGCCCCCTTACGGACTTCCTCTTCCTGTGCCACCGACGGACAGACTTGGCGAGCCTTCATCAGAAACGATGGCTCATCTTCAAATTTCAGGGTCGTCTTGCGTTACAAAAAATTGCATTTAAACGCAACTCCATGAAATAAACAATAGTCCTTATTTACACGATCCTGACTGGTTAAAGATCAAGGTGTGTTTACATTTTGAGTTGCATGTCAGTGCAACGTTTCCACATGTTATGCAGAGGCCGTTTGCATAGAAACAAAATAAAATAGAAGAGAACAAAGTCTACAGACTGACAGACTGGAGAGAGAGAGAGAGAGAGAGAGAGAGAGATACAGACACGTCGAGAGAGAGACAGAGAGAGAGAGAGAGAGAGAAAGAGACAGAGAGAGAGTGAGAGGGGGGGGGGGGCTAACAGAGGCAGATAATTATTATAGGGAGAGAAATGGAGACCGAAAGGCCGTTAAATCTTACTTCTTTTAAAGGTTTCATAATTTTCGGAAAATCGAGCCCATTTTCTCTGACTCTGAAATCGAGTTATCATTCTCTGGCATTTCAATCATTAGCCCCTTGAAAATTTGGCTGATTTACGGTAATTTGATCATTAACGTGACATTTGTGGAATGGATGGGACCTTCTTTCTTATTGTGTGTATATCTCATGAAAGGCCAAGAAATTGAAACACTTTAAGGGTGGAACATCAATCTACACGTATCTGTCTAGGGGTTTCATAACGCCTTTCCCCCTCGATCTTCCGCCTATCCTGCCCCTCTCACTATGTCTATGTCTATTATCTCCTATTCTTGAAAAGCAAGCATTGTTTATTTCATTTGAGACGTTGTCGTGCCATGCTTCTCTTTCCAGCAACCTTCCCTGTCAATAATCCTTTATGTATAATTATGAGACCAACACATTCATTTGCCTCTTTCTTATTGTGTTGATGAGTAATGGTTTTATTTTTTTGTCAGTAGTTTCTTTTTATTCATTTACTAATTGGTTATGCTTTTTGTTTTATTCTGTCCAGATACATCGGTATCTTCAGGCCGCTGCGTCCTCGGATGAAGAAGACGACACTTGGCGTGATCATTGCTTTAATCTGGATTGTCTCAATCTTGGTCACCTTACCCACGCCTCTAAAGACCCGGGTCGTCATGTTCCGGAACTGCCACACCGGCCAGATACAGCACCAATGCTTTGAGCTATGGCACAACCTCCTGGCTGGCAAGATCTACGTCTCCTTCATCACAGCCTTTGAGTTCTTGATACCGTTCTTCACCATGGGGTCCATCTACCTTCAGATCGCCATGCAGCTATGGATGCACCGGACGCCACCGGGCAACCAGACAGAGCGCCACCGTGAGGTAACCTTCATCCGCAAGCAGAAGACCATCCCCATGCTCATCACCGTCGTCGTGGCCTTCTTCGTGTGCTGGGCGCCGTACTACGTCTACCAGCTCGCCGTCAACTTCGCCATGGACGCACTCGAGAACTACTCCGGCCACCTGGCGCTCTTCTACGTGGTTGAGAGCATCGCCATGCTTAACGCGGTCATCAGCACCATCATCTATTTCTTGATGAGCCCCAATTTTAGGTCAGAGCTGACCATTATGGCCTCCAGCATATTTGGACGGAAGTGTGCCGGACGGTCCAGGACGAGTGACATTGATAAGGACAAGTTTAACATGCCTAATAACACTCACAGCAACATCTCTCAAGGACGCAATGGTTACATTCAGGTCGGACTGGTACGGAAGAGCTCAGACCAAACTGCCGAGGCTCGGTTCTAAAAGAGAGAGGACAATCACAATCTCGATGCACCTTGTAGAGGAGACACACATGACTTTCATTGTGACGTAGATTAAGACTTCATAATTTGCTACAGTATAGACAATGTACTTGTTATTTTGAAGAATTCTAAAGGAAGGATTAATATTTAGAATTGACGGTTGACGGAGAGATGCGAAGAACGACACAACTTTTGAGGCGAGGCTACTTTGGTTCGAAAGATATTTTTACGAGGAGCGTTTTGTTTATTACTCAGGAATATGCGATAATCCGTCATCTTACTTGGGACCGAAACTGACAGATGTTTGATATCGTGCTGGCAGAAATTTAGTTTACGGAAACATCAAGGTTTCTGTAAACATGGCATTTAAGAAGTCTGTCTAAGAAAATTGCGTCTTTACAGAAAAGGTCTAAATTGATTGCACTTGACCACGAAACGAAATTTTCACTCACGCTCCTTGAGAACGTCATGCCCGTTGAACATGTTGGGTCAATGTGTTTGCGTTAATCACCTACGCTAATCAACCCTATGAAGGTAATTAGCACACGATCAAGGCTTATGACGCAGTGTTTGCATCGTTAAATTTGCATGCACTGCATACACGATGCCACTCTAACATCACGCGTCAAAGATAGCGTTAGTCGCTGACGTAGCCTTGCGTCAGGGAGTAACGCCTGGTGCAACGGACATACGCAGTGGATAGATTTGAGCAGACAAACTTTTATTTAAATTCGAATAAATGCCTGCAAGGGTGACAGGTTCACTTGCCATGTTTCTAATATTTTGTTGTGCTAACACAGAATAATTGTACCATTTATATTTATGAATGTTATTATACACACGAAGTCACAGTTGCAATGCCGTAAATATTTTTGCACTTTTATAAAGCAAGAGAATTGATGAATTGAGAATGGATTTAGGTAAATATCATTAAAAAATACCCATTGGTTGATACAAAAAATATCAGGCCCATACCGACATGATGGCGCTATGCATATTGACTGTGCATGTAAAACTATAAACGAGTAATATTTTAGTATTTATTATTTAGTGCTATATTGATCACTTTACTCATTTGAAATATTAGATTCATCCTAATAAACAATTATATTTTATAATAATACTGATAATCTCATTCTGTCAGTAGCTCTTGTGGTTTGATAATGAAATATTACCTAATTAGATAGATTCAATAAGAAGAGGGATGGAATTTTCGGAATAAACAACTGAATTGTATTTTAACAGATTGTCAATCATTTTTTAAAAATTATTCTTATTTTGACCAAAACAAGCACAATAACAGCACAGAATTCGACATGGACTTATAAAATCTATTTCATGTTTATATGCATATAAACTGCATTTGAAATGTCGGATTTAACAATAGTTAAAATTGACATTTGCACTACATGAATTACATGGTTACGTGGGAAAAGGGTCAACCGTTGGGAGGGTGGGGGGGAGGGTAGCGAATTACCGAGGTGCATCGGCCCTTGATAGCCCCGTGTGATGTATACGACTAGACAAATAATGCAGTTCTCACTCATTATTTTTTTCCTGGGTCTTCTAGGGGCGGGGCGTAGACAGACTTTATCCGACGTTAGATACATGATTTGTCGTTTTTACCCTTTTCCTACTTCTTCTTTCTACCCAGCTTTGTTCTTTTGGCTACTTTGGATCACTATTCCCGGTTCCCCCCTCTTATTTGACCTACCAAAACTGTTATATTAATAATAATTTTCCGGACATGAATTATCAGCCTGTGATCATTAAAAGTGTCTTGTAAACACGGTTACAAAGGTTATCAAACTGACTAATGTGATTTTGTCTCACTTTCAACAGATTTGGGACAATATATTTGCTAGAAGGCGACTATATAATCGTTCTGCTCTTGATAAACAGGGATATGACCTACATGTGACCAAAAAAATAACATGGACGATAAGTATTATAAGACATACATGCCACGACTATAGTATCAATACTATGAAAACGACAATATACGTGTATTTTAAAGATGGCCAGTCGCGTGAAATTTGCAGACCAAAGTAAAACTTACACCGCATATAATTTGAAAATGAAGCAATTATTCGTTTTCTTTTCTTTCTATATATATTTCAGGTGCTTATGGTATTACCCTTATTTAAGATTTGATTGTGATGGTGATTTGCTTTTATTATTGACTAAGTAATGAATCATTTTTACTATTTCATCATTGAAAACATACATGTACTTAATTATATGACTTTGACGCAACAGTTGTTTAGTGATTTTTATATAGTAGTAAAGCATGTGTGTATTACTTATTATTCATTATTCTCGTCACATGTACAGTTATGGTAAATTCAAATAGTTTTGATACAAGGCAGAAAGTACTAGTTTTGATGTACTGTATTTAAATAAATGCGTGTTTACACAAGTTTCTGAGTCAAATATGTTTTATTATTCGGGATGATGATGATGATGATGATGATGATGATGATGATGAGGATGGTGATGATAATGGTACTGATTATGATGATGATAATGAAAGAGATGGTCATGATGATAATGATGACAGTGATGAAGAAGAAGATGGTGATAATGATGATGTTATAATAGTAATGATTGAGATGAAGATGATGAAGATGATTGTGTTAATGATAATAAAAAATGACAACAACTGCTATGACGACTCAGATAGTGCCTCACATTGAAATGAAATGTTTACAAATTCCCAGAAAAATAATCTCTTTTTTCGACCGCTAAGTTCTAATTCGCCCAACTTTCTTGCTTCTTAAATTATGGCCACTCAAAAAGTATTCTAGATTGTGACATCAATAAATTATCAAGATGAGATCACGCAACTCTGTTCTTTAAATACATAGTCTTAAAAAATGGAAAGAAAAAGAGACGATGAAAGTCAGTTTGATCAACGCTAAATAAAAAGAGTAAACCAAAGTGATGATACACACTATAAAAGAGGCGTGACGTCATGTATTTGTGATTTAGGGCAGGCTTTTTGAAAAGCATTTCACCCAGCGATATTTGAACGTTATCGCAAGAACGTGACTGTCACATAAACACGAGTTTTAAAAGCATCGTTTGAAGTGTAACGTTGGATAGACAAATCAAAACCTGATATTGATTTAAATCGTTAAAGCGATTGTGAATGATTTACAAATGTACTAAACTCTTGGAATATTATGTCACGGAGACAAGTCATAATGATTCGGTATGGTTCAATGGATGGAGCGATGGTGCTGAAAGTAGTGTAACACAGGTTCAATACCATGCTATTGATCACCGGGACCCCTCATCTCTAAACACTAAAATAAAAGACAGAAAAGCAGGCCATTGACACAAACTGTAGCTCGAAATAATTGTTCACAATTTATTCATAATCAAATTATAATAAATACAATTAACATATCCAAAATAATTACATTTTGATTACATCATAAATTCCGAGACAAGATTAGGATCAACCAGCGCTATTACTTGGTCCAGTTTGGATTGTGCAGGTTGTTGTATGTGTTTTGTTGGTCCGGTTCTGAATCTTTAACGTCCATAAATTAAAGCAAGAGGCTGTGTCTCATATTTAGTCACGGTTTCATAAAGATGTGATGGGGATAGGAAGTGGAGCAAACATTGTTACAATGTAAAGGAATATAAACGGTTTGTTTTCCATCAGTTTGGAACTACTGTTTTCATTTATCAATCTCATAAACAGATTTTTAGCATAAACTGTACAAACCAATATCAAGTTAGAAAATGCAAAACTGGTTTGTAACTTGGGACCGACTTTGACAGTGGGTGAAGTCATAGGCGTTCACTGATCCAATTTCCAAGTATAGGAATGTCCAAGTCCCATGATCAGTCAACTTCACGGCTCTGACAATACTTGGTCTTGTTCCTGAATCACGCCATTGATAACAAAAAATAATTGAACCACTTCGATACCAATATCTATTCCCATTTCTGTGAAGAAATAAATCACTGTTATATGTGTATGAAATACTATGTAAGTTAAAATGGAAATTTAATCGATTTACAATGCATGGCATCAGTGGCATAATGCAAAGTAGGATTGATAAAATATTGATAGATACTCGTCTAAAATTTAAATGGAATTCACAAACTCGCTTGCTTTATTAAGTGTTACAGATTGCAATAGCTTTCATGAATACGTTTGCCGGTTTTGATGAACACAGTATGCTATACATAAAACCATGACAACCTCTCATTAACTTTTTCAGCATATAATTGGTCTTTGACTGTTCAAGAACAAAATGACACTAGCTAGTGTGTGCTGTGGTGATTAAAATGATGGCAGCGATCATAGACACAATGGCCTTCAGTTTTACGTACTTCTGAAATATATCATACAATAATTTTTCATAAATCTTACATTATACGGTCGTCAGGATTTGAGGTATCAATAAAAACAAACATTCATTTCCTTGTTAGAAATAGACTTGCATTTGGCAACTGAAAATTAGAAATATGTAAATTGGCACCAGATACATTAGTTTCTTTTTGCTTTCACTGCAAAGTGCTACACTAATGAATCACGAAGAGATAGCAGAAAATAAAACTCATCCTGCAATTTCATTTGACATACAATTAACGATAAGTTCTAGACATTTAAGTCAATTAATTGATACGGTATATGTAATTTGAAGTTCAGTTCAATTCAAAGCTTAGAACCAGAGTTGTTTTACCGTAGTACAATGATATTGCTCAAAATGAGATTAAAAAATAACTTACAAAAGATAAATTGTTTACACTTCGATTCGATCCCTTCCTTCACAAAGTTTCACTGATAATCCAAGATTGAAATGAAAATTACATTATCATAAAAATACTGACCAATTCATACACAAACAAATATATTGAAATAAGATAGTTTACGACCATTGTGATACTGGGCGTGGGGCGTTATCACAAGAGTATAATTGCAGGCAGTGCCATTTTGGAACACATTTTTAAGCATATTATTTTCAAATTTGCCTGCAGGGGAAAAGAGTCCTCTGGATAATAATTTGGGCAAAGTATAAAACGAACAACAAAAGTCATTTATCGAACAGGAGATTTGAGGAAAGGAATTATTTTACAAGTTTAGATTTTTCGACAAAAATCAATGACGGGGTAATTTAAGCGACGCTCCTGTAGTTAAGATGACTTTCATCATAACAAGTCCTTTTTTTTTTACTGAAAAGACATTGATGAAACATCTTTACAACAGTGACTGCACACATAATTAAACAACAGTAGGAATACCGTTCAACTTGTAAAGCCCATGCTGCACAATGTAAAAATACAATGCTATAGACATGTTTGTTATCATCGTCTAATTTCGAAGAAAGCTTTAAATATGTATTTACAAAGACGAAAAATAGAGCCATGTTATACTATTTACAGTCATTTTTTGCCGAAAATGAGACATTCTCCGTCGAAGGCACGCAATTTCATCTCTAATTTATCTAAATATTTTGAAGCTAAGAAAATAAATGACTATCATTCAATCATTCAACCCGTACGATGGTTACAGCACACAAAGATTCTCTCACCAGTAAAATATGTTTTTCCTTCTCCTTCAAAATAACACAAATTAAGAACATTCAGGTATGATCAATGCCCGTAAAACATATACAAAACTACGCCCTTTGCAAGACAGGACTTACGTTTCAATAAAATATAGTATATTTGTCAAAGGCGCTCGATTAAGAGTCGCATTAACGCTTATGATAACAGCTCCATTTCCATCACGATAAACAAAAATAAATCGCAATATTAGCCTTGCATTTACAATGATAGAAACAAATGCCTCATTAATCAATGTGCATAAAATTGCAGTTTAACAATTATTTGTTAAAATATTTATCTCAAGCTCAAGTCCGACAGAATTCTAAGAGTCCGTTAAAATCGTTTGTTCTGAAGCGATGTAGAACGACACCATGATTCATCGGGCAAAGCAATAGAGTTACATGGTACTTGAGGATAAAGATTGGTGACAATGTCATTAAGTCCTTCTTTTACAAGTGCACTGCAACAATGACAGCAATATCAACAAGAATTCGAACAATATGAAGTACTCTCCAGATTCCATTATCTGCCGTAACACAACGGGTGCTTCAGAAGGATCATGTCCTCATTACAAGTTCACACATGTTATCATGATTGCTGATTGGCCATTGACTCAGTCATATCCGCGTATCAACGGTCTCAACGGTGATAGGTTTCCTTGTTCCGTTGGTGTAGCCATTAAGTCTGGGGATGTTGGAGGACTGACTGCCATTGGACCGGTGTGACGTCCGGGTCTGGGACAGGCCGAGGGATGGCAACTTGCAACAGACAAAGGCCTTTCCGAACATGTTCGCAAGCTCCTTGCGGAATACAGGGCTCAAGCCGAAGTAGATGATGGTACTGACCACGCCATTGAGCATGGCGAGTCCTTCGACGACGTACATGAGGAGAAGGTAGTAGGGCTGTCGCTCCAGCTCCTCGTACAGGAAGACCACGGCGACGTTGTAGGCGTGGTAGGGTGCCCAGCAGAAGCAGAAGGCTACCACAACTGCCACAAGCATCGGAATGGTCTTCTGCTTGCGGACCAAGGTAATCTCACGATGGCGGGCTGTCATGTGTCCAGGAGGATGGCGGTGTAGCCACAGTTTGGTCGCAATGCTCAGGTAGATGGTGCCCATGATCAGCATGGGCACCATGAACTCCACCACGGACAGCGCCACCACGTAGATCTGCGAGGCTTTGACGTTGTGCCAGTACTCGGCGCAGAAGCGGAATTCTTTCCCATTGCATGTACCGTTGTAGACCCGGGTGTAGAGGGCGGTAGGCGTGGCGACGAGCAGCGATGCAAGCCATGTTACGATGACGATCACCACCAATGTCGCTTTCTTCATCCGGGGCATCAGAGGATTGAATATACCATGGTACCTGAAAGATATAAAGATAATGATGCATACGTCAATGATTGTGATGAAATATTTTTATAAAGGCAACTGCACAAAAAAGAAGAGATACAGAATTGTTATACGACTCGATTTTGCAATGAGATGCCATCGATATAAAGTTTTTTTTGTTTTTGTGGTAACATTAACTTTTCTGTCAGGAATGTTGGAGATCCGTTTTATTTTATTCGTAAGTCATAATTTTGTTTGAATGTGAGTATGGTCTGCGTTATTCATTGGGAAAACAAGAAGAACAAATAATGTTAAAAACGATTTTCTCCTGCTAAGAACAAAAAAGATCGTACTGAATTATATTCAATCACATATTAAAGTACATGTAGACCCCTACGTATGACATGAATATATTGGAATGAAAATATGAAGATTATACTGCGGCAAGTTTTTGTTGCGGTTAAGTTGTGGCTAAAAAGAGACAACTCAGATATCAAACTAATGAATACTAACTCCCATCTCATAATCAGATAATATGCTTTACATCAATCATTCGCGCATATCTGCTGGGTTTATTTTGGTAGGGGAAGGGGGCGGATGGAATGGGGCTAGCGGTTAACAAACTAGCACACATTCTCCGAACCAGGCTCCACCATGATTCACAACCGAAGTAACTTGGTCATGAATGAGTTTGCTGATTTAAGCCACACATCACGATCCCCCTCGATCATCTTTTCCCCTCTATTTGACAAGGGTATTGCACAAACAAACTTGACATGAACGCGCGTCAAGCGTTTGCTAAGTGATAACCCGTATGCAAGGATGGAAGCGTGCACCGGTATCTGACCAGTTTGCTTTTCTTTCTTTTTTCCTCTGACGTCGTGACAGGCAGCCGTGCCAAGGGAATGTCGACTGACGGATGAACCCTGTAAACAGAACGCATCAACGGCACGCGCTCACGGTGTCATCATCCAGATTTCTGCCCCAGCTATGGTAGCTATCAATAGCTGGTGGTAGGATGTGTTTCAACTCGTAAAAGTTCACCGGAAGGGAGTGACAACGCCAAGATGGTCAGAATATGAGGAGATGTATTACTATAAATTTCTAAGAGACTTGGTCAGATGCCTTGGGGTACTTAAAAAAAAAAACATGTATATTAGTTCTGGTTTGGTATAACATAATTATCTCATTCTATCAATACAAATATGTTATTTTTCTATTCTATAAATGATCTAGATGGAAGTACATAGTCTTAAATGGAATATTTCAGTGCTCCACGATGAATTGAAATAATGTAGGCATCCCCTTGAATTGAAAGTCACTTTACAATTTGGAATATTTGGAAACTTGCAATACCGATACGTCATGTTGTTCTCTTTGCTGATCAGTACCCAATTATAATGATTTCGTTATCGAAGGAGACAAACTGGTTATCCTATATTGCATTTCCATATAAATTATGTACAATCTCTATTCTATTAAAAATTTAGTACTACGTAGGATCGAGCACGATCAAAGAGTTATGTTTGTTACGTTGGATGCACGTTTTAAAATTTCCATTCACAAATAATGACTGACTGAAGCTGCAGTTCTTTTCCAAGAATCAAGATTGAAAATGATGAAAGTGAAGATGGCGTTATATAGTGTTGATGGTGATGGTGGTTATGGTGGTATAGGTTGTTTGTGGTGGTGGTGGTGGTGTTGATGTGATTTTGTTATTGTCATGTGATCAGTGACGTCACTGACGAGTGAGAACCCATCTGGAAGGCATGAGAGTGATCACGGGTTCACCGGCAGGTCAAGACATACACCACTTCTTGAAGAAAATGGGACGGGGTCACCCTCTTGATCCAATCTTGCAGAGAAGATTGATTTCCACTAAAGATGATAATTAAGAATATAAATGTGTATATTACTCAGTTTTGAAGTATACCATTATGATAGTAGAAATGTTCCATGAAAAGTATTAATTGACAAATATATTCAAAATTCATACAGTGGAGCGCCAGGAGTGTCAAGTCTGTCATACACGAATGTTATAAAAAGAACACACTATTATTATTAAATATGACGAGAAAATAACAGTGGACCAAATTGTGACGCCACTTGTGTAATGTGGATCTCACATACCTATATCTGTGTGCTGTTATTTCCCCTCACTTGTGTGAAGTTAATGTGAGTTTCATCAAGACTGAGTTAATTTTTTCTCATTTTGACGATTCCAAAAACCCCAAATACTCAATTAATAACCTTTTCCCGATAACTTATAAACCGCTTGTTCACCATGCAATCGACCGGACTTGACTTGTAAGAACAGCCCGCATGATTCTTTTTGAAGGGCTTTTTGCGTGCACGTTTCCACTACCAAAAGAAAACGTTGGGGTTGCAATTGCGCCCCTGGTACCCCCTACAGACACAACCTGAAGAAAACACATGTAATGGATCCAGGGTGTTTCTCTCTGCCCGCGTCATCTAATCAACCTTGACGGCCGGGCTAAGACCGTCTTGAGATGGCACCCGTAGGCTTTATCTCTCACCGTCCAGGCACTCAGAGGTCGGTGGGCCTATTGATTGTTTGCTTGAGTGTTGACTGATTGTTTGTTCGTTTATATTTGTATGTTTGTCTGTTTACTTTCTTTAACCCAGTTGTAATCTGTGTTTGTCTGAACGTTCAGATTCATTTTTGTTTACAAGTGGTTTGAATGGGAGCTCCTGATGAAGGTTATAAATACATTGCTATCAAATTCTAATAACATATATGATATTTTCATTGAATTACCATTATTATTATTTTTACACGGTTGTTGTTCATTCATATTCTATGTTTTCCTATGAACCCAGTATCCGATTTGATTTGCGTTCGGTTTGAATTTCATTATGAAATGAATAAAACGAGTCTGATCCAATATTCTTTTTTTTTAAATCTTCGAGCAGGAGTACCAAATGCAGGCCTACTTAAATACAATCATCAACTTTCCCTAAACGTTCCTATTTAAATGATTACAATTGTTTGTTTGAGTGTTGATTGATCGTTTGTTCATTTATACTGTATGTTTGTTTATGAACCAATTTTTATTTCACTCCCAAAAGCCAATAACAACAGCAATGACTTTATAAAGAAAGTTCAATAAAAAAGACGTGATCTATTCAAAATCATATTTAAAAGAACTGTCATCATAATTCGTATAATATGCACTTTTTTAGTGTAAGGTTATTATACAAGCTTCACTCTCGACTGCAGCATGAAATACTACTCTCTTTCGTTTTCAAGTCTCCAAGACGAAGACTATAGTTAGAGTTCACTCTCTGGCATCGCCCCTCGCTGGGTTGTGACTTTGACAATATTTAATTGAGACATGGTACATCTCCATTTAATTCAATCCCCAAGCCATGCCGGTAACACAACTATATAACTCGCCCGCCGATCTCCCGGGGAATCCTCTATCTATCTCGCTTCACATCCAACGTGTTTCACGAGGGTGTTAACAAGTTATTAGATATACCCCATACCGTTGAATTAGAATGCTATAAATATAGTTGCCGATCTCTTTAACGAAAATGTGGAAAATTCTCGTACCGCACTCTTTCGATGTGTAAGAGTGTCACTCCCAAATGACATTGACCGTTCAAAAGCCCAAACATATTTATTTGTGTGGATATTGCGATGAGTTTCTATGAAACAAAATCACTCTTTGAGAATGAATTGTTTAACCCACAGGCTTACCTGAAGCAAATTCAAAGGACATTAAATTATATTTAACTGTAAGCGCTTATATGCTTTATTTAACAAAAGTAGCCTAACATCTGGCCTATATACTAATGATTTATATACAGGGAAACGTTAGATATTTAGTTCAATGAGCAATTAATGATATTCTGAAAATCAAAACCATCACAATCATGAAGAGGATTCAACTTAACCTCCCCTCCGCACTTCCGATAAATTCAAGTGCAAAGTATCGTAACTTTTTGTTTGTGGCGCCGCGCTCTCACTGCTGTCTCGCTGAGATAGCCTATTATGACGTCACACCGTTTGGTGGAGGCATGCGTGGAACGTGGAGGTCGCAGCAGTGTTAGGGAGAAAAGGCAGCCGGCCAGCTCGGGAGGAAGGACGGATGTGAGTTGCGTACGGGATGAGTGAAATCCGGACAGACTGACTTGCTGGTTCGCGATGATACATTAGTCTGATTTACAGACCTAGTCGTTAATCCTTGAGTCGCCCTTCGTCCTCCTTTTCTAATGCGTCTACTTTGCAAAGATTCTTTTAAGTTTTAGTTAATCAAAATGTACGTCCTTTCTTCAAAATATTAAACGGAAAGTAGAAAAGGACTATTATGGCAATGCCATGAAAATAATGAACGAAGTCACTCGTCCTTTGATCGGGTTAAAAGACCTTTAAGGTGAGAGAAGTCACTTTGAATTTGTCAAACAACTTCCAGTGTGCAGTAGCGAACATAGAATTTTCAAAACGGGAGGGGTCGACAAACTTTATACCTCTTTGCTTATAATGCGTTTACCAAAGTTATCTGAATGGCTGGGAGTGAGAACCAGATATGAGAGTTATTCAAAATTAGGGTAAAAGGCACCATGTCTCGTTTGCCCCCCCCCTTACCCGATCCGAAGCCCATGTAGCTTTTAAAATAGAACAAAATGCTGGTAATAATTCAAACGACTTCTACAGTCAGAACTGATGACACCAATGTTGGAGGTAGAATACGGGATTAAAAAGAAAAAGAAAATCGTCAGCCGAATCACAGGGGAGCTATTTGTTTGCGAGAACCAAAGGTGACGTTTTGTACCGATCGACTCTAAATTTGGAATCAAAACTCAACATTTTTCTCCGACACCAAGCACGTACAAAAGTCGTACAAATATCGACGCAAGTATTTTGTTCAATAAATTTATGGCTTGAGAACTCGAAGGAGACAAAACTATAATTCTCGGATTGGAGACCGAAAGCTTGCATGACCACCAGTGTTCGTCTGGTTTAAGGAAACTTCGGAAATATTGACCCAAATTTATCATCTTTAACTTTTTTTAATGTGTGATATACCT